TTTTGGTTTAGTTTCTACTCAAAAACGCTCTATTTTGTAGAGTTTCACTTAAAAATACCGTAGATCTGGAGGTCTTTTACGTGAAAAATAACAAGATAAGTTTATAGCTTTGTAAAAATGTCACAAACATTTTTTTCAGCCTCGAATTCGAGACAAAAGCGAGACTATATTTCTCCCCTTTTCCTCGCAAATCATTAAGGTTTCCTCCTGAACCGATCACAAGACTAAAAGTTTTTAATCGAAAACGCTAAAAACCATTATGACAACATTAATTTTGCTAGAAAATTCGCCTCATTCATCGGTTTGCAGGGAACTTTAGAAAACCCTTTGCAGCTTCGAATTTGGCACAGAAGCCAAATAATTTAATTGAGTTTTTTACCGAAAGGAATTAAGTAGGATTATCTTGAAAGAAATATTTGGAAAATTCGCCGCCCACATCGCTCTGAATATTTGTAAAGTTCCATTTTCAGGTGATTCCAGTTTAAACAAAGTTTATTTTGAGCAATTCTTTCTACGCAAAAATCGCATTATTTTTCAGTTTTACGTAAAATACTGACAATCTTCAGGTATTGTCTATGAACCGCCTCCTTAACCGCTTTGCAAAAATTTTTGGAAAACTTTTTGCTGCCTCGACTTATGGACAAAAGCCTAATAATTAATTCAGGGCTTTTTTCAAAAATATTTTCCTCAACTGAAAAAGCGAAAGTTTATAATCTTTTATTTGGAAAACTGGGGTTTTGTCACTCTTAGGTCAATATTTCTGAACCCCACTGTCGTCATTTGTTAATGACTCATTAACAGATGAGTCATAACTCATTAACTCCTCAACACAGTGTTACGCAGGCCTAAACTCGGAGAAGCTGGAGGCAGGAAAATCGTCTCAAAGCCAATCCATTTTTCCAGAAGATTCTGGATAAATTCTGGGATTCCAGACACTTTGGGCAAAGCCAAAGTGGCAAAAGTGTGTTTTCCGAACTGATCGGTTGGAATAAGCCCAATTTTGCTCCAGACCTGGATAGTGTGGCGGATTAGGCACGAGTTTCCAGTGGAAAAGGCGCTTGTGGCAACGATGTAGGTTTAAAGCCGGTTAAAGTGCACTGGCAAAGTCAAGAGCGATCCCTGTAACCTCGTTATGGCATTCATGTGGAATTTATAAACATACACAGTCTGGAGCAACGATTTATTTATAAACAACGCTGCCGGTGAATCCGACACGCCAGTTTGTTAGTTTTAGGCAAACGCTGCCAAAAAAGCAAACAATGTTGGTAGTTGCAGTGCATGCATCCGTGAAACTATCGAGTAGAAGAACCGAAGTGCGTGATCCTCAACAGCTGCAGCAAGATTTGGACGCTTCCACATCCCCTAGCGCTTCTAGCTATCGCCTATTTTTGCTTCGTGTTCAGGCTTTTAAGACACTAATTGGGCGTATATGTAAGTTGTAAAATCAACGTTGGGGTATCGATACCTAATGGAAAGAGTGAAGTTGATGAGTAAATAACGGAGCTCTCGATGCCGACCTACCGCAAAGGCTCATGACCGACATAGTCAACTCGCAAGAGCATTCATTACAAGTAGTGTCGTAAAAATAGCGAGTAAGAACGTGCAATTATTGCCGACGCGGGTTCAGGGACGAACGAGACTGTTTTATGACTTATTTTTGCTTTTTCCTTCAGTCTTTTACGAGTTATATTGCAATCAGGCTGGGCGCGCCCAACAGATGCAGTTAGCTAAGGAAATTCTGGGAAGTTTTGAAGAATTTTGCTTCGCTCCCGCTTGGAAATTTTCCTGTATAGCCATTAAAATTACATTCCCCCAGCCGATCCGTTTGCTGTTGAGTCTTTCATAATTGATCTTGAGGCTTAATTAAACCCGTAGGCTCTAAATTAACGTGTCAGCCAGCAACATTGTCAAGACGGCCTGTTTTTGAGTGGTCCCCTAAAAAAATGTTTTCCGCTCGCTGGTGGTTAGTTGGCACCTTTTTAATTGTATTTTAATTAGCTATTTTTCCGCCCTAATAAGATGTGCTTTGTTGGTGCCTAATAAGGTGACTTATCGATTTCAGTCGCATTGTTAGACGAAAATAAAAATCCTCTTGCACACTTGATTGCGAAAACACGTGGGCCAATGAATTTCGCCCCTGGAACGATTTCCCACAATAAACAACGTAATTGGCCGAACAAAATGAAAAAGCGCTCGTTTATGAAATTTGTGGCTTCTTTGGGCAAATAAATGTAGCCGTTTGCCGGTATCTTGCCAGAGTAAATTAAGGTAAATTTGTTGCCCTAATAAAATTAAAACCGTGCTCCTTTCTCGGAAAATCAAATTTGCGGTTAAATGGATGCGAAAAAAGTCGCTTTCAAGATTCGTGCCATTCATTGCGGTGCCAGCCAGACAACAGCAAAAAAATATCCGATATAATTGTCAGCCAGCACAGTGGTGATTAAATAATCAAAGTGCTCGGAGACAAGTGTCTGCGGGATTTGTACAATTTCACGCAATAAAGCAACCAGCTTTTTCAGCCTGTTTATTTTTCTCTTATCATTTATTTACCCATTTGTTGTCCTACTTAATAATCAAATTTATGTTTGAATTCTTCCTTTTCTTTGCGTCGGATTTCTCTCCATTTCGCCTTATTTTCCTTTGAATTTACTGAAACAAATTGGAAATTTGAATCAATGGAAAAATGTGCAAAAAAATGTTTTTATGCAATCAATAAATCAAATATTGAACGAAAGCTGGCATCTGGCAAACCAATATTCAGCAATTTTGAACAACTCATCACAAATACAAGGGGATTCAAAAGGGACGTCATTTTTTTACTGGCTTTACTTACTGTGCTTCGTATTCAAAAGTCTGCATTTAAAAGCGTATTAATGAGATACACCGTTTCGCCAGCAGGAGTGGCTGGCATCTTCAGATGTGTGCCACATGCGGCTTTAATACTCCTGAAGATGCACGCAATTCGTTCTTGAGAAACGTCAGGAAGGAACGCTGGAAGGTTGTGGAAGTGCCATTTTCAAACTAAGCCCAAATGAAGCTGAGTAAAAGGTCCGAGACCGGTCAAAAAAATGTGAATTAATCTACCGGTTTTGTTGATTTTGAACAGAAAAACCTTCTGTTAGAAAAGATGTCAACAACTTAAAACTGCTGTCGAGCCAAAAGTTGAAACGGGCGTAAAATCCCAGTTAAGATTCCGGTCTGAATGAACAAGATGATGGTGGTTTGCTTGGCGCAGCAGCCACCTCTGAAGAAGCACGCCACTCGTGCTTGCGAAACCAGCTGTTTTATTCGGACCGCTTTAAACTGCAGGCTTTTGTTTGGGTCATTTGCACGCTCAGACCAGCTGATGAGGACTAAGATTATCGTTTTTTTTATTTTTCATAGAATGTGAAATTATCTACCAAATAAAAGAACCTTTTTAAAAAAGGTGTCAAGAATTTCAAGCTTTTATCGACGAACAAGTTGAAATCGGCCCGAAAACCCCTGTTAAGATTCAAGTCTAAATGAAAAAAATGATGGTTTGCTTGGCGCAGCAACCACTTCTGAAGATGCACGCCACTCCTGCTTGCGAAACGTCAGGGAAACCAGGAGCGGATCCAGCTTTAAAGTCAGGGGGAAGGGGGTTATGTAGAAAAAATAGTGTCTGAAATGAGTCTTCTGTTGTCTATGAAATTAGAAAAATTATCGTCGTTTTGTGCAAGGGTGGCGTAAGATTATTGCAAAATTGCATGTTTTCCGTCCCGTTTTGCATGTTTCTCGGAAGCAAAATGAGCAAGAACGCTCGTTTTTACATCATTCCAAAGAGAACTAAATGGC